TGGCATATCATCAGGGGTGGGGGGTAGGGGGGGGGGGGGGTGGAGGGGAAAGGGACCACTGTGCACTGTGCTAATGCAGGAGAGAGGAGATGGAGAGAGAGGGATGGAGGGATGGAGGGAGGGAGGGAGGGAGGGATGGAGGGGTGTCCTCAGCTTCTCAGTGAGGAATCTCAAGGCAGAGAGCAAGAGGCAGAGCAGACTCCAGAGAGAGAGAGAGAGGGAGAGAGAGAGAGAGAGGGGAGAGAGGAGAGAGTCTGTGTGTGTGAGACACAGAGAGAGAGCAGAACTGAAGCAGTTCAGCTCAACAGCTCCAATGAATTGGACTCAACCAATCTCTCAAGCAACAGGGGAACCAGCTTCTCTGGCACAATTATATATATATATATATATATATATTAAACACACACACACACACACACACTGCTGCTCTGCAAGCGTTTTACATAATTAACACTTCCCAATTAAAGTTAATAAATTTCACACCACCAAACGCCACTCAGGGGTTTGAGTCAGACTGGGAGCAAAGAGGGCTGTGAAACAGAGGGAGGATGTGTTCTATCAAAGAACTATTTGGCACTTAGTCTTTGCCTTCACCCCCCCCCCCCCCCCCCCCCCCACACACACACACTCACACACACACTTTATTCCCCCCACCCTCTCCAAAATCTTTTAAGATTTTTAATCCACTTTAATATTTTACCACTCCCCCCCCCCATCCCCACAAATAAATAAAGATGTTTTAACTGAAACACTGAGCTTTTTATTCCACTGCTATATGTATATATACATTTAAATTATTTACATGTTTATATGCAAACCTGGGGCTTCATTTTGGTTTGGAAAAGTAACTAACAGATAATAATAATTATGATAATATTAATCCTTGCATTTGATGTATGCACTTCTGAGTTAGTTAAACCAAACACGGGAAGGCAATGTGCCATTGCAATCATATTGCAATATTTGCACTATCCCATTGCCTCCCCCCCCTCCCACCCCCTGTAATGTGATTTATTTCCTAAATATTTAAACGCTTGTGGTTTATCCCAGGAACTCAGGAATGTCATTTCATGCGTCAAAAAAGTGCAGCCAGCTTAGTTAATTTGAAAAGGGACAGGGAAAGAAAGGTAAATTGCATTACATAATTCACAACCAGCACTTGGAAACAACATTAGTATTTTACCATCTTTTTTTTACTATTTAATATATTTTAATACTTCGCCCACAAAATACACAGCCGATCCACTTTACAGGACATCCTGTGAAGCACTTCGAGACGTCTCAAAGATGTGATAAGGGGCTGTAGCAAATGCAAGGATTATTATTATTATTATGATGATGATCTCTGGCAAGGTGATCTGTAAAACTGGGAAATGTTTCCTTTGAAACTCGGTAACGATGCACATGGGTGCGAGTGCAAAGGAATGAAAAGGGAGGAGGACTGGGGGGAACTTTCACGACGTGTTTTGTGGCAAAATGCGCAAAAAAACTAACCCAAAGCTTGTTTTGTGAGCTAAATGTGTAGCGTTGCTGCCATCTAGAGATCTGCAAGGTGCAATTTCAGCCCTGATCGCATGGTCCCCAAAGGCTGAAGGATGCCATAAATCACCAGAAATCCCTTTGCCTTTGGGACAGTCGTTATGTGAATGACTTCAAAAAAAAGACTCGCCGATGAAACAGCTCAGGCTATGCAATCCATGTGTTCCTAAAACAGCATTTCACCCACAAAGTACAATACAAGTGTTTTGCACTGTGTACTTTGTGGGTGAAATGCTGTTTTAGGAACACATGGATTTCGTAACCTGAGCTGTCTCATGAGGAGTCTTATTTTGCAAAATACTTTGCAATGCATCCTGTGAAGTGCTTTGAGTTATTTCAACGGCCTAATATTTTTATTAATATCAGCCACAGCGGGTCCTGGTGAAATGGTCCAACTGGTCGGAAGGTTGTTTAAACCCTAAAAAAGGTTTTTAAGAGCACAGATTTGCCACATTACCAGAAATGAAGTTAAAGTTGCATTAAATTGTTCACCAACTCCGCACACGTTGCCTACAGCAGCAAATTCACATCAGAAAATTATTTTAAGGTGCGTGAGGTGCAGGGGGAAAGATTCACTGTTTCCTCAATTCAATTTGTGCAATGAAATAGGTACATTTTATACCCCTTTATGTAACAAGCAATTTTTTTAGCAAATCATTTCTGTGCTTTCAAGAGCAATGATAGTTTAGAGGATTTTGAAACCAATCGGTGAGATTTTGCAATAATTTCAAATGGGACCTGGAGCAGAGGAGGCTGCGACTCTTTACAATGTATTCTGTGAAGCGTTTTGAGATGTCTCAACAATGTGATAAGGAGCTATATCAAATGGAAGGCTTATTATTATTATCAGCAACCAATTGGACCTTTTGCTCACAAAATATAGTCAATTCACTTACAATATATCCTGTGAAGCACTTTGAGATGTCTCAAAGACATGATAAGATGCTATATCAAATGCAAGGGTTATTATTATTATTTTGTTCCTGACAGATCCCCATTCAGTCATCTTGTTGCCACTCTTGTTCCCTGTGCAAAATATTTAAAATGAATCATTTAAGATCCAATTTAACCCTTCCTCCCTTCCTCCCCCACACACACATAACCACATTTTACATTCATAGGTTTTGCTCAAAAAATATACTCAATCTACTTTACAGTATATCCTTTGAAGTGCTTTGAGACGTCTCAACGGCGTGATAAGGCGCTATATCAAATGCAAGGATTATTATTATTATAGAGCAGGGAGAATGTCTCAAAGTGCCTGATAAGTTGAGTGAGAGCCTCAGCTGGAGCATGGTTGAGGATGGGGGAAAGAGAGTGTATGTGAAGGAGGATGTTTGAGAGAGGATGGACCATTGGGTGAGAGAGAAGTGTGTGGGGGGGAGGGAGAAAAAGGGATAGAGAGGAGGGTGGGAGAAAGAGGAGGGTGGGAGAGAGAGAGAGGAGTGTGAGGGAGAGAAAGTAGGAAAGGAGAGAGATGAGGAGGAGGAGAGAGAGAGGAAAAGGGTGGGGGGAGAGAGGAGGAGGAGATAGAGAGAGGGTGAGATAGAAGGGGAGAGAGAGAGAGAGAGGAGAGTGAAGGAGAGAGCGCGGAGGGTGGGGGAGAGAGAGAGAGGAGGGTGGGGGAGAGAGAGAGATGGAGGGTGGGGGAGAAAGAGAGGAGGAGGATGGGGGAAAGAGAGAGGAGGAGGGTGGGGGAGAGAGCATGGAGGGTGGTGGAGAGAGAGAGAGAGAGAGAGAGAAAGGAGGGTGGGGACAGAGAGAGGAGGGTCGGGAGAGAGAGAGAGGAGAGTGAGGGAGAGAGACCCGAGGGTGGTGGAGAGAACGAGGAGGGTCAGGAAAGAGAGAGGAGGGTGGGGGAGAGAGAGAGAGGAGGGTGGGGGAGAGAGAGAGAGAGGAGGGTGGGGGAGAGAGAGAGAGAGAGAGAGAGAGAGTGGGGGAGAGCACTCCCCTACCCATCCTACCATCTTTGATCAACCTTTCAGACACTGAGCCCATGTTAGTAACTCTCTCCTAAACTCTCTCACCTCATCAGCCTGGCTCAGTTGGAAGGTCGTGGGCTCGACCTCCATGTTGGTGCTTTGAGTTCACCGACTGACGAGGGCTATGAGATACATTGACAACATGATAAGGCTCTACATTAAATGCAAGGATTCTTAAGAGCTATACATTTGATCATGCCTTGGGTCAATGTGCTCAATCTCATCCACCCCGCTCACTGATCCACCTTGTCGCTGTGAAGCACTTAAAGATGTTATCTGGTGTCAAAGCTGCTATATAAGTGTAAAATGTTGTGCTCCCAATTGGTTATAATTAATATGTTGGAGGGATGAGCCATGAGAAAAGGCCAGATAAGGTATACAATACAATTAACAATTTATGTTTATGTAGCGCCTTTCATGCTGGGAGAACGTCAAAGAGCATTTATCTCTTCAGTCTCGAAAACAGAAATGTCAAAGGCATGTCATAGAAGTATATATTATATTGATATTTGATTCAGAAAGTAAACCCAGAGGAATATAATATATACCACATATATGAAGGTAATGGGAAAAGAGGGCACATGTCTAGCTTGAGCAGTGCAAAGCAAGTTTAAAAACCAAGATAGTTATCAACAACTAGAATGAATTGCTAAGAATGCATTACAGGCCATTGTATTGAACTCAGTTAAGAAAAATACTTGATGCTGTAATAAATGGGTGTTTTGGAACGATGGGATCAAATGGGTCAGTCAGCCTTCTCTATCTGCAACATGAAATATAATAATAAAATAATAATCCTTGCATTTGTTATACAGACTTTCATATTGGGAGGATGTCTCAAATGCTTCACAGGATTCACCGTAAAGTGTAGTGACCGCATGTTTTTTGGGGGGGTTGGCAAACAGCTCTTTCATGTAAACGGATAAATGGTTATGATATAGTGCAGTGAATATCTATCTCAGTGCACAGGGCTCACAAAAATAATTCAATATTATAATTTTTCATTTGCACTTTTTAATTGCTTCATGTCTTAGACTGTTTGCTCGTCAAGTGATGACCCCATTTCCCTACATCTCATAACTGCTCTATAACTGGTACCTGGAATTTGTGTAATAACATGCTCAGGATTGACATGGAGACTGATTTTGCCTTCCTCTGGGAAGCACCCAATATTTCTTTGTAACTATCCTTGTTAAATCCATGATGACCAAGGTCAGCACCTCATAATGTTACAACATAATCCTTGCATTTGGTACAGCGCCTTATCCCATCGCTGAGATGTCTCAAAGCGCTTCACAGAATATACTGTTGACTGTATTTTTGAGGCGAAATGTGGCAGCCAATTGCGCACAGCAGTGTCCCAAAAACAGTCGTGAATTGAGTGTCCGAAATGTTAATTTCTTTTTGAAGGGATTATTACCCACGGAAAGCGTTCCGCCAATTAACTAACAACTGGGTTGCTAATTACTGCCAGGTAAA